GCAACAAATGGTTTTAAAGCCTTTCCCCTTTTTGGACAAAGTTGTGAAGTAGACATAGTGAAAGAATCACTTCCTGACAACCTACCCACTTGGAAATCCTTTCTCTGTGTTTCCGACACTGGAATACCCACATCCATCCTCATGGCGATTCTTGGCCCTCTCCACCAACATCTTGTAATTCATTAGACTCAGGGTCAGCTCCCTCGACGAAGGGAAGAGGAGTTTTCACAGCTTTAGGACCATTTTCTTTGCCATTTCTAGTTTTCCCTCCACCTGCCTCTTCAATCTCTTCCTCTAAAAACAACAGCTCTGTATGCAAACTTTCTATTTCAAGTAAATCATTATTGCTTTTCGGAAACAGACATCCCAAACTTACAGTTTCGTCTCTATCAGAATCGTCACTGCTGTTTTGTTCACTCAACCAATCTTCAAACCCTGTTCTGTTCAAATCACTAGGCTTCAGGTATCTCGGGTTGCGCCTATCTGGTGAGTGACGGTTCGCCTGGTTGGATGGGACCCACTGTAGAGAGCCTTGAGACTGAGAGTCTTGAGATTTAGAGTTGTGAATTCATGCAACATCCCAAGGAGAGGCGCAGGCTGCAGCCCCTCCTTGAATCTTACAGGTAAACTAGGAAAGAAATTCAGGAATCACAGCTGAGCCCAAAACAATTCTTCCCTATTTACCCCATACTTGGCTAACACATTTGACAAAGTATTTGCTGATCTCCCCACCCACTGTACAGAGACCAACATATTCCTTGTCAACCAACTGAATTTCTTCATTTCATTCTTGTAGCGCCATATAGCATCTTCGGGATTTTTCAACCAGCCCACCACCACTTAGGAATCCCCTTCAATTATTAGGTGCTGTACCCCCAGCTGGTTTGCAAATTGCACCCCTTGTACAGAAGCTAATAGCTCTGCCCTGATAGAGTCCCCAACTCCTAAAGGACCTAAGTAGAGCAACAGAATCTCTCCCTTCTCATTTCTCAAAACACTCTCCATTCCGGATAATCCTGGATTACCCATGCTACTTCCACCGAAGTTCAGCTTCAGTGAGCCTTCAGATGGAGGAGACCAGCTTGTAATTGATTTGTCCTTTAGGGGTGAACACCTCGCTACTGCTGACCAATTTCTCCAAAGATCATTAAAAGAGAACTGATGAAAGATTTCCAAATTCTTCAGCCAAAGTATTGCCCTAGTCACCACACAGTTTTTCAATTCCCGACTGCTCCTTTCCTTTTCTTGAAAGATTCCAGCATTCCTTTCTTCCCAAAGAGTCCAAATCAGGGCAGCGTGTGCACATCTCCACATAAGTCTCCCTCTTTTCGTAGGCCAAAAGAAAGTAGAATGGTTGAAGAGCATGCAAACTTCTGCTGGTGGACTCCAACTACTCCCAAACAACGAAAGTGGCCAAGCCCAAAGGTCAAGCATCCCTTAGAGAGGTGCAAGGTGCACCCCCACCCAAAAAATACAAATGTAAAGACTAAACTACAACTGAGCTCTATACAAATGATTTAACCCCTTGCTTGGCTAGTGTGTCCCCCATCCCATTAACTTATTTTCTAATCCATTGTATCAAGGTCATGGTGCTGGTTAGCCATTTGAACTTCTTCATTTCATCCCTATAAGCCCATATGGAAGTCTACAGTTATAAATTTCTTAAGTTGCTCATCATCTTTTAACTTTAATCCAAAATCATGTACAAATGTAGCAAACCCAATTATAAGATGAAATTGAAGTCTTCATTTCAAATTCTGAAATTAATCTCAAAACCTTATTTATGTGTATTTTAGGTACTTTACTGGTCTTCTATCACCATGGAAAGGTATCCTGCTTTTTGGGCCCCCAGGAACAGGAAAGGTCTGTTATGCAATTCTTTATTTTTATGTTGGTTGATATTTCTAATACTTGTTGATTTTTTCTCTTTGCATTTTCCAATAAGTTATGAATGCTTCAGGTATAGTATAGAGTTCCTATTTGTCCTTTTAATTGTGCCTTTTGAAGTATCAATTAGCAAAAAAAATATGTCTTCTGAAATAAAATGTATTTATTGTAGAGAAAGAAAGATCTACAATGTTGTAGCTACTATGCAACAGGAATGCCTTGTACTATTTGACTCTCAGCATTTCTCTTTTACCACTAGCACTACCAAGCACAAGGTGTGCATGCCGTTAGCCCAGGATTCTTATTTAACCAGAAGAAATCACTGTTTCCTTGTTATATGTGTATGTTCATATTTTATTTGATATTTACTGTCATCCAGATCCATTATATTTACAGATATATGGTAAACATTTTCTCCATGGATCCTTATATAACAGTGCATTCGGGATATAGCAAATCAGTTTATAAATTTATCAGTCTATTAATTTACTGCATTAACGTATCTTTTGCGTTGTAACTTTGTCCATTACCTGCATGCTGTGTTGCATTGCCTCGGCTACTAGCATCAGAACCCAACATATGGGTTTTAGTTTGCAAAACCTGGAAACTTGGGCATATTTCTGCAAAGGTTCTTTTCTGAATGTTACAAAGAAAATGAATCATTTTTATAAGATACTGTTAGTTGTATCATATTTTTCTAGCTTAATTGCATCATATGTCCATAATGGTTGTGCTGGGGATAATTGTGATTATATGTCAAATGCACTAGGAAGTATGCAACTTCATAATTTCCACATTGACATTTTTGAGGGAAGAGATAGATTCATAATATACAATACCAAATAATTTCATGCAATGTGTAAGAGAAAATGGGAAATAAGCAATCATTCTATCTGAATCCAGTGGAATGTCAAAGATTGATACATAATAAATTTGGCAAGAGTTGCTTTTATCCAAGAAAATGCAACATAACTAGGAAGTAGAGTTTCTTTTATTTGCTTGTAAAATATAAAATGTTTTTTTCTTTTTGATAATTGAAAGATAATTTCATTTACCAAAGAAGATAAGCTGTTACATGCATCTCTTGGAGAGGCGCGACGTGCAGTCTCTCCCAAACGTTACAGAAAAGAAAGAAAAAAGTTACAAACTTGTCCAAAATAGCTCTTCCCTAGATATGCTTTGTTTGGCAAGAGAGTCTGCTAAAGCATTTGCCGACCTACCCACCCATTGGACTCTAATTGTAGTGTATCTTGTTAACCATTTACTTTTTTTATGAGACCTCTATAGCTTCAAATAACTGAATCTGGGTTCAGCAACCAACCCACAATCACCTTATAGTCTCCTTCAATCAGTAATTTCTCCACCCCAAGTTGGTTGGCAATCTGAATTCCTTGTACTGCAGCCAGCAACTCATACCCCTTGTAGAATCACCTACTCCCACCGGACCTGAAAACATTGATAAGAGTTTTCTCCCTCAGTTCTCAAGACCCCTCCAATGCTTGACAATCCCGGATTGCCTTGACTTTTTCCTTCAAAATTCAATTTAATAAAACCTTTTGGAGGAGGTGCCCAAACTGCTACAGATTGCCAAGTTGGTTGGCAATCTGAATTCCTTGTACTGCAGCCAGCAACTCATCTCTTGTAGAATCACCTACTCCCACCGGGCCTGACAACAGTGATAAGAGTTTGCTCTCCTCAGTTCTCAAGACCCCTCCAATGCTTGACAATCCCGGATTTCCTTGACTGTTTCCATCAAAATTCAATTTAATAAAACTTTTTGGAGTAGGTGCCCAAACTGCTATAGATTTATTTTTCTTAGAGGATATATTAGCTATTCAGCCCAACTTCTCCACAAGTCAACAAAGGAAAAGGTCCTCTTGTTGTCATGAAAGATTCTAGCATTCCTTCACTACTGAAAATATACTCCTTCACTACTGAAAGAGTCCTCTCGTTGTCATGAAAGATTCTAGCATTCCTTTATTCCCAAATAGACCAAAGCGTGGCTGCTGTGAAGCATCTATACATGCATCTCCCTCTTTTTGTTGGCCAAGCAAAGGTAGACAGGCTAAACAACAGTTTTACTTCTGATGGAAGATTCCACTTACAATCAAACAATTCAGACACCCAATTCCCACAGAGCTGCAGAAAAGGGGTAGGAAATCATTAAGTGCTAGCAATCCTCACTATGGGTTTTGCCCTTTTGCACAAGATACACCAGTTTGGGGATAAACACAAAAAAGGCCTCTTCTTTTGATAGTTTTTCAAGGTATTAATTTTACCATGGTACACCTCTCAACAAAAAAACAACAATTTTGGGTGGGGGGAATAGGCTTAGTCCAAACTTCTTGTATAGGGAAAGACTTAGTAACATCACTAGAACATAGGGATTCAAAAAAGGAAGCACAAGTAACAGAGCCTTGAGAAGTAGGGGCCCACACTCTCATCCAAAGAAGGGTCTAAACAAACATTGCCAAGAGAAGAAAGCAACTCAGTGGCACAAGGAAATTCAGCCTCCTGCAAGCCTCTACGGAATCCAAAATCCTAATTCAAAGAAAGAGGGAGGACTGAAGGGGAGAGAAAAGAGGAAATAAGCTCTTTTTTATAAAGGGAAAGAAAGTAAAGAGAGGGGAAAATATCTTTGAGAGGTAAATTACCCACCCAACTATCTTCCCAGAAAAGAACTAGGTCTCCAAGACAAACATCATACCTTACAAATTGGAGAAATTTGGAAAGAATGCCATGTATTGCATTCCAAAGAATTGATAGTGTAGCCCGACGAGATACTTCGGCATCCTAGCCCGAATTAGAACAACCATGAATACTAACCACCACCCTATGCCACACAAACTCTCTCCCCACTGGTCATCTCCACTACCACTTCCCCAATAAGGCTTCACTTTTAAGAACCAAATTCCTAAACCTAGCCCTCTCCCTCTTTGCCGCGACTAACTATCGCCCAAGGCCCAACTAAGTAAATGGTCCTTTTTTCACCCCCTGGTTCCCACAAAAAATCCCTCATCAACTTTTCCAATTTTCTAGCCTCCTTAGAGGGGATCCTGAAAACTGAAAGGAAATACACCGAAAGATTGGTAAGTGTATCCCTAGTGAAAGTTACCCTTCCCCCCAAGGAAATGTAATTATTTTCCATGTTGCCAATGTTTTTTCAAATTTCTCCACATCTGGATTCCACAAACTATTTTCCTTAGGATTCCCACCCGAAGGTAAACCCAAATAAGTCAAGGGCTAGGAGGCATTAGAGCATTCCAAGCAAAGCTGCAATGGACTCAACCTCACTATCTTCCAAATTGACACCTACCACACAATGCTTTTCAAAGTTGACTTTAAGGTTGGAGGCACTCTCAAAACCAATTATTAGATCCTTAAGGTTTCTCACTATCCTTAGATTGCTTTCCTCCCAAAAAATGATAATATCATCTCCAAATTGAAGATGAGTCATTGAAACACTACTTCTATCGATTTCCAGCCACTTGTTACCTCCTCCCAATCTTCTTTGGAAATCCATCTACTAAGCACATCTGCCACTAGTGTAAATAGGAAAGGGGAGAGTGGATCACCTTGTCTGAAAAAAAAGTACTCCATTGACTAGCACAGAGTAATAAACTGAAGTGAGGCATCCCGAGATCCAGTTACACAATCTTTTCTTGAAGCCACAGATCCTAAGCACCTCTAAGAGAAAACTCTAGTCCACCAAATCATACACCCCTTCTCAAGGTCCAATTTACAAGCAAAACCTCGATTCCTAGATCTCCTCATACCACACACTCATTTGCTATTAGTATTTGATCAATAATTTTCCTGTCTTGTACAAAAGCTCCTTGAGCTTGGCTAATGAGAGAGGGTAAAACCAAGGACAAAAAAATCGCAACGTATTGGGACATATCGACCGATACATATCGTATTAGGGGCTTCCTGATATGCCCTTACAGGGGGAGTTTTGGGGTTTGGTCTAGTTCAGGGGGTAAACCAGCCTTAAATTGACCCCTCTGAACCAGTTTCAAAGAAAAATAAATAAAAAGGTGACCAAAGATACAGGCCAATACGCCCCTACTGGTGTATTGGCCTGTATTGATATTTTGAACCTTGGGTAAAACCTCCTTGATCCTCAAAGATAACACCATTGCCAAAATTTTGTAAATGCTAGTCACCAAACTAATGGGCCTGTAGTCTTTAGGTTGCTTAGCATCAATCTTTTTAGGAATAAGATCTAGGAAAGTGGCATTAGCTCCAGGGTTGATTATATGTCTTTTCAAATTCCTTGAATACTGCAAGTTCTCCTTAACTATTTCCCAACAATCCCGATAGAAAGCCATGGTGAAACCATCTGGTCCTGGGGCTTGTGATCTATCCATAGAAAAGACCGCTTGTTTTATTTCCTCTTCCTTAAAATTCCTTTCTAGCTAGCTCAAGTGGCTCTCCTCTAGCCTAGGCCAATCTAAACCTTCCAATCTTTCTTTGGACAATAGGGGTCTTCTCAAAATTGACTTGAAATGGTCCACAAAAAGCCTTGCTATCTCTTCTTGGGATTGATTCACTTCTCCATCTATCTCTAGTTTAGCCACAAATTTTCCTCCTCCCATTAGCTATTGCATGAAAATATTTGGTATTTCCATCTCCTTCCTTAATCCATTTATTCCTAGACTTTTGCCTCCAGGAAATTTCCTCTCTATTAGAGGACACTTTCCAACTCCTTCAGCTTCCACCTTAACTTTCTCCTGCTCATTCATGATTCTTTGGGATTCCTTCTCGTCCAATTCCTTAATACAAGAAAGTAAGGTGGTTTTCTGCTCCTCTAGTCTCCCAAAATGATCTTTGTTCCAGTCTTTTATTTTGCACGTCAACATTTTCAGTTTCTTGTGGAACCAGACTCCTTTCCACTTCACACCCCTCAACTCCTCTTACCACCATTCTCCAACCTTCTGTATAAAGTCCGTGTGTGTCAGATACATTCTCAAATCTAAAAGGCCTTGATGCACCACCTAAAGGTTCCTTGCCTAGCATAATAGGACAATAATCAGAGGTAACTCTAGGTAGATCTTTTGTCACTAGACCCCTCCAAAGATTCTCCCACCCTTCATTGAAGAGAAATCTGTCCAGTTTGGAGCAGGTTGGGTTTTCCTGAAAGTTAGATAACGTAAACATGGTTTGCAACAAGGGAGATTCCTTTAATTGGCAATTATTGGTAATGTTATTGAGCTTCCTCATACTGGTGATAATGGTCTGTTGAGGATTATTTAATTCCCTTGTGAATCTAGTTACATTGAAATCCTCACCCAAACACCAAGGTCCCTCCCACAAACCATGAATTGCATAAAACTCATCCCGTAACTCATTTCTCTCTCTATATCTGTTGGGCCCATATACATTGGTTAATACCCAAACTGCTCCATCCTCCAAGTTTCTAAATTTCATAGAATCTGAAAAATTGCCTATCAATTCCTCCAAAACTTCCACCCCATCTTCTTTCCAAAAGGTTGTTATTCCCCCCGAAGCACCCCAAGAGGGAGCTGAAATCCAGCTCACACCTCTTGATTTCCACACACTTCTTGCCCATCTTCTGTCTAGCGCTGGCAATTTTCCTGTATCATCACAACATCAGGCTTTTCTCTTCTTAGTATGCCCTTTATACTTCTTTTCCTAGAACTCCCAAGCCCCCTTACATTCCAACTCACTATTTAGGTGCTTTCCTCCTCTTCCCTCTCCCACTAAATTCAATATCTGAAATTAATCTCTCCACTTCTGATCTTTTTGTTTTTTCTTTCCCTTCTTTCCCTTCTTTCCCTTCTTTCCCTTCTTTCCCCTTGCTGTCCTAGAATGTGCTTCAACACTTATTACCTTCTCACCATCCTGCAACTTACAAGAACCATGTTTCTCTGGAGTTGCATCTATAAAATGTTATAACAAAACAGATGTTCTCACTGGAAAGCTCTATAAAACCTAGAAGTTTCATTTTTTTTTTTTTGGTACAATTCAAATACTCCAAAAGGATACTTACTGGAGAAATTAAAGCATGGTCTTGCATATTGAATGAAATACCTGAATTTATATATTTTTTTATAGGTATACCTGAATTTATATTTATTCTTTGGAATTTTGAAAAGATTCCCATTTCCAGTGTCTATTCAATACTCTATCTGTGCTGACTGCTTAGCACAATATATAGAAATACTATTTCCAGGCCTTTCTAGGAAGAGAGAGATATTTTAGTTGAAATCTTGATGAAAGTAAAATGGCTTTTAGCACTGACCCAATTCCCAAAGGAAACAATTATCTTATAACAGAATAGAGGTTAGGGAGTTTCCCTTTCGTAATTTTTTTCTTTTTTTTATAATAAGTAACAGATCATGCAGGTCTGCTTAGATCACAAGGAAAATTATATAAAATAGCTGTAAAGCCAGCTATGTTCTATGGCATTAAACAGAATGGACTGGCAAAACAAGATTCATGTAGCTGACCTCATATAGTTGGAATAAAGCTTGGATGATGATGATGAACAGTCAACAGAGCATGCATGTTTTATTCATACTTGAGAAAAAAATTAGTGGTCAAAGAAGAAAGATAGTGCATATACACTCCTAAATGAAATAAAAAAAGGGAATAGTTTTACCATGGCCAGTGGTCAGCCAATTGACTCTTTCCTTTCCTTCACCTAATTCCCCACCTTATGCAAAAGATCCTCACTGACTACTGACTAGCAAGCAAGGCTGGACCCCCACACTACCTCAAATCTATGGACTTCTTCCCATGACAGAAAATTAGCTACTGAATTAGCTGATCATAATAGTCATACAAAGGAGGCATTTCCATTCCTGCCTAAAAATTTTCCTTCATGATGTTTCATCTATACTGGCCTAACCTGAAGCCTTGAATTAATGAGAAAAGTTAAGTTCTTATCGAATCACCATATCTTATTGGTTGGGAAATTTGGGAATAGGTTAATAATGTCTAGCCAGTACAGATTCTGAATATGCGTTGAACTGGGGTATTTTCCTCAAACCTTGTGAACAGTGGCTATATGAGGTCATATAAACTCATGTGAACAGAGGGAAGTCAAAGCTTTTCCTTATACAATTTTAACCTTTATTATAATTCTGTCTTATGCATGAATCATTAATTCAAATCCTACCTTATGTCATTTCCTTGTCTATTTATGAGGTTCAACTGATATTAAGTATGACTAATTGCTTATTGAATTATGTAGTCCGATAGGACAGTATAATAATTGAATTATTCTTCACATTTGCAGACTATGCTGGCCAAGGCTGTTGCAACCGAGTGTAAAACCACATTTTTCAATATTTCAGCTTCATCTGTTGTTAGCAAATGGCGCGGTATGCTACAATCCCTTTTGACATTATTTTTCCTCTTTTTGTGATGAATGGTCAAAAAAGTTATTTAAGTAGTATGCACATAAAGATGTAGAATGAAGAGAGTATTACAGTGTGCCACCCTCCGTCCTAGATGGGAACCTGGTTGAAGACAGTGTTTTAAAGTGAGAGGCGAAAGAAAGGTGCCAACTGCCAAGGCCTTTTAATGCCCAAGGCTCAAGGTGCAAGGTGGGGCAAATAGTCAGAAAAGCAAGGCACAACTTTGGAAAAAAATTGATAAATACTTGACATACAAAAGTATGGTCCTAGACTGGGTATGGTCCTAACCTTTGGGATTTTTGATCCTCAGGCTAGGCCTGGGCCCACAAGTTCGGGCATTTTAATTTTTTAGGCTGGGCTCGGCCCTATGCCCATATCCCAACCTGAGCCTGGCCCAATTATATACATGTACAGTAATATATGCATATATAGACAAATATTTGCATGCATGTATATTGTATGCATACATGCATACATATACCCACACTAAAAATTGGTATACGTGTATGGGTATATGTATGCATGTATGCATATATGCATATATGTATGGTTTAATCTGGCCTGGGCCTAAGTCCAACCTGAGTGCATTAAGTTTTAATCTGGGCTAGGCTTGTTTGGGCTTGACCCCAGGCTTCGACTTTAGACCCAACTCTTAGGTTGAGCTAAAACCCAGTCTAGTCTGTTCGACTTGCACCTCTAAGTGGAAGGAGATTCCTGAGCTGTTGTTGTTGGATGACTTAGAAATGGGAGTGAAGGACCATGGAAGTAAGTATATATGCATAATGAAAGGAATCATGACTCTTGTTAGGTCCCTAATTCTGTTTATATTGTACATATTACATAATTCTGTTTATAAATTAATAAATTTCTACAGTTACTGATGAAAAATATTTCATTCTCAAGAAGAAGAGAAGGGGAGTAGCCCCTGTTTTAGGGAAGAAAAGATGAAAGAAAGAAAATGGTAATATAAGGAAAAAAGAAGGGATGGATTGGAAGCTCCCTTATATCTGTATAATTAGGATAGTTTTATTGAAAAAAGAAGAAAAGACATCAAGAGATTTTTTGTGGGAGCCAAGGGAAGGTAAGAGGGACCATAGGATAAGGTGGCAAGTGGTTTGTAGGGATAAAAATAAAGGGGGAGTGAGAATAGGGAACATACAGATGAGGAACACTGCTCTGTTAGAAAAAGGGTATCTATCCTTAGGTTGAAGGATAACCTTGATAAAATCTATCTTTTCAAACCTACTGGTCTATTACTTGTCAATGTTCAAGATCCCAGTAGGTGTGGGAAGGAGATTAGAGAAGATAATAAGCGATTTTTTGTGGGAACTGGGAAGTGGTTTGTAGGGATAAAAATAAAGGGGGATTGGGAATGGGGAATGTACAAAGGAGGAAAACTGCTCTGTTAAGGAAGTGGTTGTGGAAAATGCCTCAAGAGAGAGATGAGTTATGGGCAAGGGTGATTGTGAGTATTCATGGGTTCTTGGATAATGAATGGGATGCTGGAGCATTGGCAAGGGCAAATCAAGCATCTCCTTGGAAGGCCATCAATGAAGTCCTACCCCTTTGGGAATGGTTTCTCTCTTTGTTTGGGTGCAAGTAGGCTCCTCCCACTGATGTGCAAAGCCTTTTTGCTCCAACTTCCTTTTCGTGGGCAAATAAGTGGGGAAGGCTAATGTGGAAATGCACTAAAGCAGCAAGATTATGGACAATCTGGGAAGAAAGGAATTCAAGGATATTTTTGGAAAAGGAAAGAAGCAAGGAAGGATTAATTGAAACGATAATGGTTAGGGTGGCCCACTGTCTCAAGTCTCTAGAAATCTTTTCTAATGTTTTTTGATGAATAAAGATAGTTTCATTACTTTAATAGATAATGGAAATCTCATATAACAGCCCGTGGAGAGGCGCGAGCTGCACTCTCTCTCAACTGATTACAAAGAAACTTAAAAGGAAAAGTAAAAGATAACCATTACAGCTGAGCCTAAAACAGAACTTCACTATTTGTCCCTTGCTTAGCTAAGCCATCAGCCAAAGCATTTGCTGATCTCCCCACCCATTGTGTACTAACATTCCTTGTCAGCCACTTAAATTTTTGGATTTCATTTCTGTAGCACCATACGGTTTCCTCAGGGTTTTGCAACCACCCCACCACCACCTTGGTGTCCCCTTCTATAACAAGCTGTCTTACTCCTAACCAGTGTTTTAAAACGCGGAGGCGTGACGCGAGGCGTTCCACTACCTAGAGGTGTGAGGCGTAGTTCAGAACGCAAGAGGCGTAAGCCTCCCGAACGTAGGGAGGTGCAAGCCTCCTTAAGAGGAGGGGGGTTAGGAGGATGAAGAGGAAGGGGGGATCTCATTCTTTTCTTCCCTTCCCTTTCCTTTCCTTTCCTTTTCTTTCCTTTTCTCTTTATTTCTTCTCTTTCTTTTTTTTCCCTTCCTTTCTTTTCCTTTCCTTTCCTTTTTTTTTTCTTTTTTTTTCTGTCTTTTTATACCAGATGCGCGTCATGCTTCATGAAAAAAGCGCAAGAGGTGTATGCCTCAGAGGTGTCAACGCCTCTGGCATACGCCTCAGGGCATTTTGGGAACGCCTCGCCTGGAGGGGTGCCTCTAGGTGTATGCCTCCCACACCTTTTAAAACATTGCTCCTAACTGATTTGTGAGTTGCACTCCTTGTATGGCTGCTAATAGTTCTGTTCTGACCTAATCCCCAAATTCCAAAGGACCTAAATTAAGAAGTACAGTATGTCCAGCCTCATTTCTCAAGACCCCTCCCATTCCAGAGTGCCCTGGATTGCCCTGACTGCTCCCATCAAAATTCAATTTCATTGAACCTTTTTTTTTGAGAAAAATTAACTGGTTTCAAAAAAAAGAGAAAGAGGTACACAAGGAGGTGTACAGATACATGACAGGGGACAGACCCCTGAGAGTTATACAGGAGGAAATTTGTCACAATACAAGGACTCCAGATTGGCACCTAGTTTTGCTAAACCATCTGCAGTAGCATTTAGCTCCCTTGGAATCCAGTACAGAGAAGAATTCATAAGAGCCAATAGATCAATTGCCTCTGATAAGAAGTGACTAAGTTTCCACGGTCCAGCTTCCTGTTGTCCTAACCATTTTATGGTGTTTGCTGAGTTGCCTTCGATGGAGAAGTTCTGAATTCCCAGTTTGCTGACTAGGCGAATCCCTGTAAGGGCTGCTAATAATTCGGCCTTTGCAGAGTCAGCTAATCCAATCGGTCCACTGTAAACCCAGCAAACGAGTCCATTTTCATCTCTTAGGATTCCCCCTATACCGGAAACTCCAGGGTTACCCAGGGCACTGCCATCAAAATTTAGAGTCCAAGTTCTTGCCCTTCTTGTTGAGGGGACTCTAGGGGTGTGAGGAGTGTATGGGGAGGAGTGCAGAAAGTGGACCACATTCCTGTTGAGGTTGTTGATATCGACTCCTTTGAATTCTTTTAAGCTGGAAGCCCACTGATTACAGTGATAAACAATGTGATTGAGCAGCTCACCTTTAGATTTTGCCTTATTTTCAAACAGACAATTGTTCTTTTCCTCTCAGATTTCCCAGAATACTGCTTGAAGCACTATCAGCCAGTAAGCCTTCCCTCTCTTGCTCAGGCCTCTTCCATGCCATTGAGAAATCCAATCCTGAAGGTGATTGGCAGCCACCCAACTATACCCAGCTAGCTGAAGGAAGTAGTTCCAGATGTTTCTGGTTACCTGGCAGTGTATGAAGAGGTGATCAGCTGTCTCACCCTCACAAAGACAGAGGATACAAACATGGGGGGAGA